TATGAATGAGAAGAAGCTGAATGTCCTGGCTTTAAGTGAAACAAAGCTGAAGGGGGTGGGAGAGTTTCAGTGGAGAGGAATAAATGGGATTAGGTCAGGGGTTTCAAATAGAGTTAGAGTTAAAGAAGGAGTAGCAATAATGTTGAAGGATAAGTTATGGCAGGAAAAGAGGGAGTATAAATGTATTAATTCAAGGATTATGTGGAGTAAAATAAAGGTTGGATGTGAAAAGTGGGTTATAGTAAGCATATATGCACCTGGAGAAGAGAGAAGTGTAGAGGAGAGAGAGAGAGAGATTTTGGGAAATGTTGAGTGAATGCATGGAGAGTTTTGAACCAAGTGTGAGAGTAATGGTGGTTGGGAATTTCAATGCTAAAGTGGGCAAAAATGTTGTGGAGGGAGTAGTAGGTAAATTTGGGGAGCTAAGGGTAAATGTAAATGGGGAGCCTTTAATTGAGTTATGTGTAGAAAGAGGTTTGGTAATAAGTAATACATATTTTATGAAGAAGAGGATAAATAAATATACAAGGTATGATATAGCACGTAATGAAAGTAGTTTGTTAGATTATGTATTGGTGGATATGTATGTCATGTGGGTTTTCGATAACGTGGATGGGGTAAGAATACAGTGGACCCCCGCATAACGATTACCTCCGAATGCGACCAATTATGTAAGTGCATTTGTACGTGTATGTTTGGGGGTCTGAAATGGACTAATCTACTTCACAATATTTCTTATGGGAACAAATTCGGTCAGTACTGGCACCTGAACATACTTCTGGAGTGAAAAAATATCGTTAACCGGGGGTCCACTGTACTCACGTAGGCTGGTAGTACGTATAATATAACGGAAAGTATGGGAAGCGCCAACAGCCGACCTGCCTCTCTCTGCTCCCTATCTTCGACTGACCCACAAGTGCCTACAGGGTGAGCGGTGTTTGAAATCATGCTATGGTCAGCAGCAACATAACAGTCAGTGATTCACAGAGACAGTTGGTAGTGAGTCATCTACTGGTACACTGGTTACTGGTAACTGGTTACTAGGAACTGGTACTACTACTGAGAGCTCGGCGACGCTAACGTATGTCGTCTCGACATACAACTAATACAACTAGAGACGGCAGGTGTACGGCTTGGGCTGATTCTATACAATGTCAAAGTACACTACAATTTAACATTATAACATACATAAGTAGAATATTGGAATGGAAGCTTACGTAATTAAAGCTGTTGAACGATCACACAATAGCAAGGCTGACCATAGCAAAGCAACTGACACGCAAAATTTGTAAAGCGTTGGCAAAGTTGAATGCAATGCCAGACAGCAAGCTACACTCTGTTCCACAAGATTGACCGTAGCGAAGTGAGCACACCGAACAAGCTAGTAGCGAGCTGTTGAACGATCACACAATAGCAAGGCTGACCATAGCAAAGCAACTGACACGCAAAGTTTGTAAAGCGTTGGCAAAGCTAAATGCAATGCCAGACAGCAAGCTACACAATTCTCCTGCTTCCAGCTTCACCCTAGGCTCAACCCTTTCTCTAAGTCCAGCTCCAGCTCTTGGACAGGCTACCCATATTACAACCCAGGAGTCCAAATGGCCTGTTATCCTGGGTGTAAAGGGAGCAAAATAAACACAGTAGAAAACTTTTGACTTATATTATCCTTCACCAATTTAGAACAGAAGTCTGTACACTATATACACTATGTACAGCAATAGGTATTAGTGCACTCCACAGTAAGCAAGGCAGAATAGAAGCCACTAGAGAGCAGACTGTGCTTCAACCAGCTCTAGAATGGGAATGACAAGGGCAGACAGGAGAATGGTACCCACATAACCTCTGCGATTGCCAAAACCATCTTCTCATTGGCTGGAACCTGGGTACTGGTTGAACGACGGGGCCCCATCGTCAACCCTCAGTCGCCTGGTTTGCTGGTTGGGGGAGATAGCCTGTAAATGAGGGTGTGTACATGTGCTGAATAAAGGTTATGTACTCTTTGCATGCCACATGCACTAAAGTTATTATAATATTGTTTACCAATATTGTTTACAACAATAAACATGCACAAATGTTGTATAATACTAATGTATTATATATTTACATATGTACAGTCACTGGACATGTTTCTAGAACTGCTGCAGCCTGTGGAAGTCCTTGAAACATGGTATCATGCACAGAGGTACCTTACATCCCTCGCACACAAACCGAGTGTCTTTGCGTCTTTGTTCCTGTTGTTTTGTTTGTGCACAGACAACATTTGTCTTCTGAGCCCATTTCGTCTTAGTTGCACAAAGCTGTATTAGGAAGTGATCACCTTCCCTCCTCAAATGCTTGGGTATTTCCTGAGGAGTTCAAGGACGGTTTTGTATAGCAGGTGTTGTTACCTGGTACTTCAATATGAGTTGTCTGACAACAGAGAAACAAAATTCACCATACGGTGGTCTGTTGCCGGTCTTTATTTGGTACATGTTATATGCATTGAGCATTGAAATGTCCATGAGATGGAAGAAAAGTTTCACGTATCACTTGTAACTCTTACGAACACAATCGACAAAGCCAATCTGCATGTCACATTTGTCAACCAAACGCATGTTTTGTGTATAATCAATCACTGTTACTGGTTTTTGAATACGTTCATTAGTCACTCTATCAACTTTGCCACTGTCTTTCATTTCGTTAGGGTGAATGGTTGTCAACAATGTGACGTCTTGTTTGTCATGCCACCGGAATGCCGTGATGTCATTGGCAGTAAACACCTGCACCTCACCAGCACGAGTGCCTGTGTTGAACCTGGGCACGTGTTTATTAGAACACACTGTGCCACACACATCTGTCATGTTCACTCTCAAGAAATCACTGAGTAAAGGGCTTGTGTACCAGTTATCAGTATATAATATATGACCCTTACCAAGATAAGGTGCCATCATGTTTCTCAATACATCACCCGAGATACCCAATAACATCTTGGTATCTTTTAATGTTTTACTTCCCGTGTATACAGTAATATCCAGTACCAGGCCACTGTCACAGTCACAAACAGTTTTATACCAAAGTGTTTCCTCTTGCTCGGTATATACTGCTTGAACGACAGTCTACCTTTGAAAAAAATCGAAGACTCATCAATTACAAGATTCTTGAATGGATAAAAGTACATGTTGTTTCAGATACATAAAAACATTTCTAATCTTGTATAACCTGTCACTTCTGTCAGGCCTGGTTTTGTCAGAGAAGTGCAACATTCATAACAGTAACATAAACCTGTTCACTGGGATGATTTCACTGAAGGTCGGGGTACAAATTAGCTGATCTGTGGACCAGTGTGATTTTATATTATGCTTATAGACATGAGGCATAAGCATTATTGTTGCAAAAAGCAAATACATTTCAGCCACAGTTCTCTCTTTCCACCGGTGTAGTCTTGACTGTGGTGATATGATCGTATTTGCCATTGTGTACTCAATATACTTGTTACTTTCCCTGACAATGATTTCCATCAAGGGCTAGTCAAAGAATAGTTCAAAGAACTCCAGTTCATTTGCAGTGTTTCTAAGGGAACAAGCTGATAGTATACCACTTTGAGAGTCGTCAAACTGATGGGGAGTGGGAACAAAATTATAATTTTGCTGCCAATCCCAGATGTGGTTTGCTGGTGGATACTGGACATCATAAGCTGGTTGTGGTTGTGATGTAGTGGTGGATGACACTCCGTTTTGTCCTTGAGCTGAGGAGTCAGCGGCGTGGGTCCCAGCCTGGGCTGGTGAGTCATGCATGGCCGTGGCACTACCATCACCACTACCACTATCACCACCAATACCACCACCTACTGATGCCTGTGGTCTATCCATGCCAAGTGTAACCACATCATCCTCACTTTCACTGTCTATTCCTGGTGTAAGGCCACGGGATGTACTCCGTTCCCTGGGCACTGCATAGGGAACACTACCTGAGCTCGTGCAGCGGCATATATACCGACACTTCACTAGTGAATATGATTCATCACTATTGCTACTTGAATGATCATCAAGAGCAATAAAATCACATTCCACATCACTATCATCATCATTACTGAAGTCTGAGGCCTGGCCACGTGAAAATATTAGTTTCCTCTTGTGACGAGGTACAACTGATCGTGACTGAGACGTGCCCACACCAAAGGTAGAAGGTTGAGGATCGTCAGGATTTTCTGCACTATTTTCGATAGCCTGGTCATTGCTTTTGGTCAGTAATCGATCAAAGCCATAGAATTCTTCTTTTCCACTTCCATCAGAGTCAGAACTATCAGTTAGGAAGAGGAGAGTCCCAGTTTGCCTTGGAGTGAGAGCTGCCTTGCCGCGAAACTTGGTGAACAAAACTTACTGAGGCGGTGTTCCCACAATGCCATGCGGGTGCCTAGAATTTTTGTTTACGGCTCACACACCACGCAGACCCATTCTCTCAGATGTAGGCCTACCAGCCTTCTCTTGCTAAATTTGACACCGCTAGAATTTTGGCATAGTTCTATGGTTTGGACCCTCAACATAAAGCCGTAGATCTATGGCACGGACCCTGAAAGGGTTAAAAGTGGACAAAAAGGGCGATTCGCTTTACAACGATTTCTGTTTTACGGCGGTAACCTAGAACCTAACTCGCTGTATAAGTGGTGCCCTACTGTATATTGGATAATAACCCATTTAGACTGATATATTTAAGTTATAGAGTATGTTTGTGTGTACACTTTAGGTTACTAAATAAATGGTAATGTTAATACAAAAATATCCCCATACTGAGTCACTAGAGAACAAGATATGTGATTAAAGTATAACTTAGAGTACAGGGATACTTTATTGAGTGCCTTGGCTCATTGCTACATTGTATAAGCGTGGAAGAAAATCTTAAATCTCATGAACCGTTAATAAAAGTTGTATAGTACCTATATGTTTAATTAATTATGACATAATGTGTAAAATTTTAATAAAACACTCCTTTTGATAATGATAACCATTTTCTCCTCTCTGAAGAAAAAGCTCCGTCTGCTGAGTCATCAAATGTGGGCACACCCGTAGAAACTGAGGTTGCAGCATTCTTCTCCACCAAGTATGAATCTGTGACAAGCATATCACTCTCTAAGACAGAATATTGCTTACACTTGGCTCATGATGCTAGCTGGGAGAATTTAGCTGCTGCAGTGTCAGATAATTCTGTGACAATACTGAAGAGAGAAACACTTCAAAATATGTCTAGTTTTGAGCCTCATGAAAAATGTATCACTGGGTTAAGATTCACTCCTAGCAGCAATAATCAACTTTGGACCAGCAGTACTGATGGCTTGGTGAAAATGTGGGATATTAGGTCTAATAAGTGTGAAAAAGAATTTATAGGAAAGACTAAAAATTCATCTGTATTAAAACCTGTTACTTGTTTTGATATGTCATATAATGAAAGGATATTATGTGCAGGGACTGAATTGGTTGAAAGTGAAGCTTTTCTTTTATTCTGGGATATACGTTCTGATAAAGTGTTAGGGAGCTATTGGGAATGTCACACAGATGATATCACCCAGGTTAAATTTAACCCTTCACAGGAAGATACTATGGCAACAGCTGCTACGGATGGACTTATTAATGTGTTTGATATTTCACAAAAGACTGAGGGGGATGCTCTTACATATTGCATGAATGCTGAAGTGACAGTTGGTAAATTGTCATGGTTGAGCAAGAATGGCCGACATGAACGATTATCTGGAATAACGGATATAGAGTCTTTGCAGTACTGGGATATCAGGGAGGCTGCACCTTTGTATAAGTACAGTAGAGGAGAGGTATGTAATGCTATGAAGTCCCTAACACCAGATGAATGCTATCTGGCCTCAGTGCACATGTCAGGTGATGGGGATAATCCTGTTGTACTGACTGGCATTTGCACGGAGGAAGCAAATAATCATCTCTGTACTTTGAAACTTGATACTCACACTGGACAATTGAAGCCACATGGGTATTTTATTTCTAAGCAGCACTTGCTAATGACACGGGCAGCTTTATACCACGTTGGGGCTGACTCGTTTGTCACTGCAGGAGAATGTGGGATAGTGAGGGTGTGGAGGCCAGGGTCCACTGAATGTGTAGGCAAAACCTCTCTTACCAAGCTCACCAAAAACCAGAGATCAAAACCTTACTAGCTTAAAATAGCTTAGTAATATTAATTTGTTAAAATAAGAATTGTGATATTAAGACACTTTACACTTAAAGAATATTGTCAAAAATGTTGACTAAGGATGAATTATGAACATGTTATGGTACCATAAGCTCAGGAATAGTTGTTAAGTAAGCTTGGTCAGTTTCAGAAGACTGCTTAGTTAAGGTTAATTAGATATAATGCTTTAATGATATAGTGATTAGTTAAGCATTTAAGAATGTTCAGAGATTACTTCCAACAAAATTCACTGAAATATACCAATTCAGCAATGCTTTAGTAAGAGTCCAGTTATTTTGTATTAATGAACAGTTCAATATGAGTATGTTGTGAAATTTCTCCTTTACTGATAGCTAAACAAAAGTGTATTACAGTATTGTATTTTTTAGGTGTTACTTTAATATGCAAAAAGTTTTTGAGGAGATACATTATAAATTCATTATTTTAAAAATATTTGGATATCTTTGAATATAAATAGACTTAATCATTCTGTGGAATCTGCTGTGAGTAATTCGTCTGTGATCAAAAGGTTCCAAGATTATAAATATGCTGTATAAATTTTGCAGTTGTTGATGATTTATACAATTATGTAATTTTTGTATAATGCTAATTTTTGTTATAGATGGAGTAATGTTTTAGAATAATTACCAGTGTTTGTTCTTAAGTAAAATCTCATAAACAGTTGTATATAAAATAATGTATTTTCATACCTGCATGTTTTCATTATGTTTTAAAAGTCTGGAAGTTGTGTAAGACATTTTCACAGATAAACTTAGGAAAATCAAGTATTTTACCATATAAACTCCAGATAAATTGTAATGAATGATCATTTATTCGTTTTGTCACATGTTTATGTATAACAAGGCAATACTAAGCTTATGCTTATTAATAATAAATACTTCTGTAACAGCTCACTTCTTTCATTTTTCATAATATACCATAAAAATTTTATTTTTTTAGATTCCATGCACTGAAAAATACTGTATTTCAAAACTACCTTTAATAGTTGTTTAAATACATGTGAAGTGCTGTATCATTCTTTTCTTGCAAACCTTTTGAAATCTGTGTACTGTACTGTAATTATCTAATAGGGTCATCAAGGATTTTCTAGTGAAAAATCTTGATTCCATCTTTTTTTTTTTTTTTATTTTATTAGAGATTAACCCTTTCAGGGTCCAAGGCCAAAATCTGAAGGGGTGCCCCAGTGTCCAAGAAATTTTGAAAAAAAAAAAAAAAAAAAAAAAAAATTACAGAATTAAAGATATTTTTGTGAAGGTAATCAAACAAAAAATTGTTTTTTTTTCCTGATCAGTACTTACATAGATACAGCGGCGGGAAGTTGACCCAAAATGGCCGGATGGCGGCAACATCAGCGACTTCCGCAAAATCTCATTTTTTTTATTTTACGTTTTTTATACTTCTTTTCTATTTTTTTCTTTTTCTAGTAACATTTGTGGCCTGTGAAACCAATATAATGTATATTGTTTAACCCTTAAACGGTCCAAAGAGACTGACGTTCAAATTCGTAATGCTACAAAAGTAGATCTACTTTTTTCAAATATAACCCAAAAAAAATGTAGATAAAAGTTCTTTTTACACGTTTTCAAATATAAAACAAAAAAAAAAAGATCTACATTTTTTTACATACTTTCAGATGTTGAAAAAAAGTATATATACGTTTGGACCATTTAAGTGTACACTCATTGTATTCAACACAATAACTGCACTAATTTGTTTATCAGTATATTGCTTACAAAACTTATTTACAAGTTTGTTGTAAACAAAATGATGAAAATATTAGTGTGTTATTGTGTTGAATACAATGGTATCATATAGTACCATATGGTACAATGGTGCCATAGGGTGCAATGGTACCATATGGTACAATGGTGCCATAGGGTGCAATGGTACCATATGGTACAATGACACCATATGATACAATGGTACCATATGGTAGAATATGGTACAATGGCACCATTTGGTACAATGGTACCATATGATAGTGGTACCATATGGTGCAATGGTACCATATGGTGAAATGGTACCATATGGTACAATGATACCATATAGTTCATTGTACCATATGGTACTATTCAACACAATAAACACTAATATTTTCATTATTTTGTTTACAATAATTGTTTACAACAAAAATATGCAAAAATGTTGTACATAGTAATGTTCTATTATATATTTACAAATGTACAGCCACTTGACATGTTCCTTGAGGTGGATGACAAAGCACTTTGTCTTGGAAACTGCCGAGTCACTAGCTAGCTTGCGTCGTCACTCAGTCTTGGCTGGTGCCTGGTGGCATCAATATCTCCAACTGACCGTATGGTACATGGTATCATATGTTACAGCATACCATATGGTACATAGTACTATATGGTATAGGGTACCATATGGTGCAGGGTACCATATGGTGCAGGGTACCATATGGTGCAGGGTACCATATGGTGCAGGGTACCATATGGTGCAGGGTACCATATGGTAGGGTACCATAGGTACAGACACATAGGTACAGATACAGGGATCCCTATGGAAATAAGTCACCCTGACTTTTCTGGGTTATCCTAGGATTTTATACATATGCTGCTATGTATGATAATCTATGTAACTGTATTTGTGTGCACCTGAATAAACTTACTCAAGCACATGTGGCATCGTGAGTTTATTTAGGTATACACAAATAAAATTATCATACATAGCAGCATATGTTTGGAGAACCTAGGATAACCAAAAAAGTCAGACAGACTTATTTCCATTAGGGTCCCTGCACCCTGTACCATATGGTACAATGGTACCATATGGTTCAAAACCATAGAATTCCTCTTCAGATCCACTTCCATCAGTCTTCGAACTTTAAGTTGTAAAGAGGAGAGTCAGAATTCGCCAGGAGAGTGAGTGGGGAGTGAGAGCTTCCTTGCTGCCAGGCATGATGAACAAAGCTACTTTGGTGGCATTCCCACAGTGCCATGCAGGCATCCAGATTTTTTCTAGTGTGCACACTGACCACCCAGACCCATTCTCTCAGATGTAGGCCTACCAGCCTTCTTGCACTAAATTTGACCGCTAGAATTTTGGTGTTGATCTACGGTTTGGACCCTCAACGTAAAGCCATAGATCTATGGCACGGACCCTGAAAGGGTTAATTGTGGTAGGGGACCTAAATGCTAAAGTACGAGAAACATTTAAAGAGGGTGTGGTAGGAAAGTTTTTGGTGCCAGGTGTAAATAATAATAGGGGTCCTTTAACCCTTTCAGGGTCTGTCCCGTAGATCTACGGCTTTACGTTCAGGGTCCAAACCGTAGATCTACGTCATGAGCTCAGCTCACTCTGATAAAGAGGGAGTTGGGAAATTTGGGCCTAGATATGAGAGAATACATCTATGTGGTATGTGTGCACCACATAAAACAAATCCTGCAGCACACTGTGTATAATGAGAGAAAAAAACTGAGACCGTGATTTTCGATTAAAACAGCGACTTTGCAGTGTTTTTCATATGTTTTTTATAGTTGTATTTGTGATTTCTTGGTCTCATTTGATAGAATGGAAGACATATTACAGAAATAGAGATAATTTTGATTGGTTTTATCACTGGAAATGGCTTGAAACTGAGCTCAGAGTGGCGGAAATGTTAAATTTTTGCCGATGTTCAAGAGTAAACAAACGACCTCACACGTCTAATACACGCCAGCTGGTGGGTCTAATATACATTCACAAATGTGGTGATATTTATACAATTATTACAATATTGCATAACAATAAATCTTCTATTTTTTTGTGTGAATAAAAAATTGAAATGGAATTTATTTGTAAATCCTCAGAACATAACTAATGAACAGAGGAAATGTTAGTTTAGTGCCAGGAATACCTACATTGTTTATTCTGGACCCTATTTTGAAATTGGAATATTTTGAACTTTGTGTTAAATTGGCCAAATTACCAATTTCCAGTCACTTTATTTTGTAGTTGAAACAGTTGACTTGGCGATTTCTTGTGCTCAGTCGATAGAATAGAAGTAATACTAGTGAAATAGCTAAGAATTTGGTCGACTGGAATAATGTAATTGGCCTAAAATGGGAGTCAAATTCGGCAAAATCGCCGCTTCGTAAATATCGCTGACACATCAAAATTCACGAGAGCATAATTTCATCAATTTTCCATCAAATTTCGTACTTTTTTTATTACATTCACAAAAAGATTCTCTACCATTTCATAAGAAAAAATAAAATTTTGTTTTTTTTTGAAAATTCTTGGGCACTTCAGATTTTGGCCTTGGACCCTGAAAGGGTTACTTGAACTTTGTATAGAAAGGGGCTTGGTTAGAGATAATACATATTTTAAGAAAAAGGGGATAAATTAGTATACAAGATATGATGTAGGGCGTAATGACAGTACAGTGGACCCTCGTTTTTTGTAAGCATCGGAAGTCATAATTTTTGAAAATCGTAGTTTTTTCGTCAAAATATTGACTCGTGAATCGTCGTTCATCCCTGACGCGTATACACAGCCCAGAGTGGCCCCACAGCCAGTGTACCATTGTTTATCAGCGAGTGAGGACGATCTCGTGTGTTCGTACGATACATTTCGTAATATTCCATTCGTTTTAGTGCTTGCAACTGCTAAGTAAGCCACCATGGCCCCAAAGAAAGCTCCTAGTGTCAGGCCTTTGGTAAAGAAGGTGAGAAACATGATAGAATTCAAGAAAGGACTCGTAGCAAAGTACCAAAGTGGAGGAGGAAGAGAGAGGGGAGAATGTACCTTCTTCAGTGATTCTGCGATATGTATGATACTAAAGTAACAGGAGTTGAGAAAGGCTAAAGCACCAGCCAGTGATAAAGTGTAGCATTAACAGTGTAGCAAGTAAGTTAAGGGATTAATTGATAGAAAAAGGACAGCACGAACCTAACTCCCCCACTGTTTGAGTTATATAGGGCGACTGACAACACTGCCGCCTCCACCCCTACTATGTACGGCTTATGCTCTCAGTGGCCCTTATACATCCAACAACAAAACACAACACCACTCATGACATACGTAATGACATTTTTTATTCACTCTAGAGTATATGTCATGTTTCTATGTTATTAATATTCTTTGTCATATTAGATGAATTTTGATAGATAAATAAGCCGTAGAGTTGATATTAGTGTCATACTGAAGGACTGTCTTGTCCTGTCTCCAAACACACTCCCCTGGTGCTGCCACAATTCCTAACGTGTAATGACATACACATATTTTATTCATACACCAACAAGAGTCTTCAATAAAGGTAAGTGTGATGTTATTGTTTTATTCATGTCTCATTGTTTTCTGTGTATGTAAATCTATATTTCACATAAAAAAAATATTTTTTTGTTAATACTTTTTGTCTGAAATGGATTAATTGGATTCACATTATTTCTCATGGGGAAAATGGTTTCACAAATCGTCAATTTCGCCATTAGTCACACTCTCTGGAACTAATTAATTAAGAAAAATGAGGGTCCACTGTAGTTTGTTGGACTACGTATTGGTAGATAAAAGACTGTTGGTTAGCCTTCAAGATGTACATGTTTATAGAGGTGCCAGAGATAGATCACTTTTTAGTTGTAGCTACAGTGAGAGTAAAAGGTAGATGGGATACAAGGAAAATGGAAGCAGCAGGTAAGAGACAGGTGGAGGTTTATAAGCTAAAGGAGGAGGCAGGGTAAGATATAAACAACTATTGGAGGATAGACCTCTTCAAGGGGGGCTCCTTGGCTCAGTGAAGAAGCTCTTACCTTTGAAGAGTTTCGAGAGAGTAACTACTCTCGGAGCCCGGCCATGGGCCAGGCCCATCTGGTGCTTGCCTGATCAACCAGGCTGTTGCTGCTGGAAGCCCACTGCCTCACCTATCCATCACAGCCTGGTTGATCTGGCACCT